GGTTGGGGGGGGGGGGTGGTGGTTAGGGGTTAGGGGCGTTCCTCATACCCATTTTATTCTCCATCAAATGTAATTAAGTATTTAAAAGTACTGTAACTTAAAGCAAAAATAGAGTAGAAAGTTAATATAAGTTTGATTGAAATTAAAGGTTTTTCAATACAAACTAAATTCAAAACATATGCAAAAAAAATATATATATATATAGAGCCAATAAAAGTTATTAAAAATAATAATTAATAGATATGCAAAAAGTATATTATGTATATTTTTATATAATATATTATATTATATATAACATATGTATATGGAGACGAGGTGAGTTTAGGAGTACTTTTTCCGTCCCCGACCTGCTAAGATTAGAGAATAAAATTTTGTCCCTTTTTTCATCCTTATATTCGATTATTATCATCAATTTTTGCTTTATTTAGTACAAATCTTCCTTGTGCCTAAAAATAATATTGCCATCCCTAGTTAAACCCCCATCTATTATTAAAAAAAGATTCTGTAAAATTTGGGTTAACTATACGTGATTGAGGGATGATTACCTTTATTACCTGATTACCTCTATTAAACTTCAACAACTGTTTTTTTTTTTTTTTCATTATTTGTTAATGTGGAGCTTCTTTAGTAGGAAAAAAAAAAAAACCTATATATCTACTCTCTATTTTCAACTATTATATTTATATAAAAATTTATTTTTTTTTATGTAATTTTTTAATTAAGATGTTTATTTTTTGTATTCATTTTTGATTCAGAATCATAATTCATAATTTTTTACAATATTTTTCTCTCATAAAAAATACATATAAAATAAAAATAATTCTAAATTGTGATTCTGCTTACATAAACCAAACATACACGCAATATAATTTTAACAAAATAACCATCAGAATTTCTAGCTGTCCTGTCATATAAACTCCCTAGCATTAAAGGTCAAAACTCTCTCTTTTTTATTTTTTATTTTTTATTTTTTTAAAGGAAAAGTCTGTAAAAAGTTATCAGAAATGATAAGCTCTTGCAACGCAATGGCAGATATTTATATAGAGTAGATTGTAAAATGAACTAGAAGCCTAAACACCCACACAAGGCACCGATTCTGGACCACAGCCAGTAAAAGCCGGCGATAGGGTTTACAGCTATCTGAAAATGGGCGGCGCCACCAACAAATTATTCTCTCTCCTCTCATCCTCCACCACGTCCACCGCCGCTGTCGCCGCCGCCGCCGCCCCTTTCCCTCTCCTTCTCCACCGCCGCCGCCGCTTCTGCACCTCCATCCTCCTCCTCCGCAGCCGCCACAAACCCTTTCTCCTCTCCCGTGGGCCGCACTTCCTCACACTCTCAGTCTCTCCCTCCTCTCCCACTCCCACTCCCACTCCCAACGCCCCTCGCCATTTCCACTCTGCTCTCCACGACCACCATTTCTCTTCCGCCTCGCCGTCGCCGGTTCTCTGCCCTGAGTGGTCGGACCTCCTCCACGCCCTCTCCGCCGCCGGCTACTTCGATCGAAACTCCGGGTTTCGCCTTTCCGATGAGCTCTCCAGCTCTCTCCATTTGCCTGACGACTTCGCGCGTGCTGCCTCCGCCTGCTTGGAGTTCGCGCGCGACCGTGCCGCTCTCGTGAGGTCTGTCTGATTCGATTTTTTTTTTTCGTTGATTTTGCATTTGAAACTGTTTTTGACGAAGATTCATAATACACCAATATATATAAATATACTGGGAGCAGATTGCTTTCAAGGAGAGATGTGGAAGTGCTGATTCGAAATGGGACTCCGTTTCTTTTCAGAGATGCCGATGATTCCGCCGCAAAGCTGAGGGCTTTTCTTTTCAATGGCGAATCCAATGTGAGTGAAGCGAAAAATAACGTAATGAATGTATGTGCATTATGCAGTTTTTGTTTTAATTTACGAGCTGAAATGAGCACACACTCGAGCTTATTGATCTACTTTCAATTTTCAAAACCCATTATGATTCAAATCTTGTTCTTCTCTATATTCTCTTGGATTGGGATTAAATTTATTTTATTTCTTTGCGTGTTTGGCTTTTGAGGAGAGATGGCAGTGAAAAAACATGAGCATTATTCTCTCGAGTGAAAGGAAAGTGCGTCTCTAAGAATTTGCATACTATTTCTGAAGCAAATCTTAGACGGAAACGATGAAATTTATCATTCATTTTTATCTTAATTGAAATGCACACTGAGGGGGCAAAATTGGATGCTCTACCAGTGATTTAGAATGTTTGTACTGCATCATGTATTGAATTATTTCTTTTGTTCTTAACTCACCTTGTATTGAATTATGTGGAAAGCATTGGTGTTGGCAATCCTTTGTGTGGTGTGGCTGGAAAGAAATCAACGAGTTTTTGAGGATAAAGAATCCGAGGAGTCAGAACTTTATGATAAGCCTAATTTTTGGCAGCGTTTTGAGCGTCTAAGTATTTTCCTTTATCTTTAATACTGTTAAGTTGGAGGGATGTTTTGAATCTTTGAGTGAGATTTTCGTGTTGTATGTTTTCCTTAATCTTTGCAGTTGTTGCCTTTTCTTTTTGAGGATCTCTCATTCTCTTCACCTTGTGTTGCTTACTATTATCAATAAGGTTTCTCCATTTATTATTATTATTTTTTAATTCTTTTGCTCTTTAACTCATTGAGAACTACATTGTCGTTATTGCAGTTATCTCTTGTGGCAAGTTTCTTTAGCTTTTAACTTATTAAAATCAAACCAATAATCAATTTGAATTTGGAAATATTTTAGGGAAATTTCTACTTTTTTACTGCGTTATAGAAATTTATGTTATACTTACCCATTTTTCTTCTTGTTATCTACTTTTTTCCCCAAACCATAGGAGTTGGATATTGATAAAGTGAGCACGGTTGATTTGATGAGATTCATATTGAGTTATGCTAGCAACCTCGTCTTTCCTTCGGAAAGTAATAGTCTCTACAATAGAGAACTTGTCGAATCATCTGTCAGGAATCTGTTGCATGAATTGGCCAAGCTGTGTTATGTTGTTCCCGATCCGAATTCCTTTGGTTCAATGCAAAATCAGTTAGTTGATGGAAATAAAGAACCCGTGAGACCTTTTGGGCAAAAAATTGAAATGAAAAGAGGCGACTGGATTTGCGCACGGTAGTACCTTTTATAATGCCTATAGTTCTTCAATTTTGGAATTTTTAATATATATATATATAATTTTTGTTGTTTTCATCGTACACAGATCATTACATGTATTTGATAAACATTGTCTTTTTAATTCTGTACCAAGCAGGTGTAGTTTCATGAACTTCGCTAGAAACCTAAAATGTCTCGAATGTGAGGAGGCACGACCAAAGAGGCAACTAACTGGTGGAGAATGGGAGTGTCCCCAGTAAGCATTGCTTTTCTGTTATTCGATCTGCTTCTTAATAGGGCCATCTTTTTGTTAATAGATCCATCAAGTAAGCCTTTTGTCCTTTTCAGATGTGATTTCTTCAACTATGCGAGAAACACGGTATGCTTGAGGTGTGATTGCAAGCGCCCTGGAGAGGTCTCAGTTAGTCCCTCCAATACTGGATTTGGTGGGGGGTATCAAAATGGTAGCAATTCAGACAAGGCTGATATTGACAGCCGACTGGCTGCCAATGAAGAGAAGGCACAGAGGTGGTTTAGTAAGATATCTCAGCTCGACAGTACATCTGACATTAGTAGCATAGCAGATGATGATTTCCCTGAAATAATGCCATTGAGGAAAGGTGTTAATAGATTTGTTGTGAGCACAAGGAAAACTCCGTTAGAGAGGAGGATGGCTAACTCCCAATACCAAACCAACTTGGGTAATGATGTCGCATCTAAGGGTTACTACAGTAGATTCCCCCCCTCTTTTCTTCCCTTCCTGTCTTGCTATTGTAACTTTTTAGTCTGTTCAATAAAAAATAGATTAGATCCTTGGTCATACATATTTTCTAAATCTAATAACGAGTACAATAACTGACAGACAACAATACTGGTGCAGATGGTCAGCGGTTTGGACAGTCCAAAGGGAGAAATTCAAATTATGTCCCATATGTGCCATTACCTCCTGATATGTTTGCAAAGAAACCAGAGAATTCGGAGGCAGAGAATGGAGGGAAGGCGCTTGCAGGCCGTCATGAATCGGTTGCATCAAATAGTAATACAAGAGAGTGGGCAGACAGTGCTGCTGGAAGCCATAAATCAGAAGAGATTGTGAAGAAGCAATTGAACCAGGCTGAAAGCAATAAAGAGAAAGAACAAAATGAAAAATCTGAAAGATGGTTTGAGAAGGTTGCGGAACTGCATAATGTTACTGATCTAGCTAGTGAAATTTCGGATGAAGATTTCCCGGAAATTATGCCAATGCGTAAAGGAGAGAATCGATTTGTTGTCAGCAAGAAGAAAGATCGTTCGTTGACTTCTCCGGCTTACAAGAGACAAATGGCTATGGAGCAAGCGAGCAATACCAAATTCGTGCCCTTTGTTCCCTTCCCACCAGATTACTTTGCAAAAAAGGACAAACCACAAGCGGATGGCACCGAGCTGGTTAATAAGGATGCTGCTGAAACAACTCCAAGTTCTAAAACGACAGAAAAGCTTCCGGAAGGGTCGGACAGTGCTAGACCACGGATGCTCAATGAGAATTATGTTCAGCGAACAGAAGATCGTGTAAGCTTGGACAGCTGGAATTCAGTGCCTTCCGGCAATAACTTAAGCGAGAATGAAACTCATGCCACTTATGCACCACCAGCCAGCGGAAAATTTACCCAGAATTGTGCTAAATCCTATAGCAGCACTGATGACAACTTGGGCGGTGGAGAAGCTCAAAATAGTACACTAGATTTGGCTGGAAGTTCACTTAAACAATCCGAGAACCAGAACACTAGAGAGGGCTGGACTGGAAAGAGCTTGGAGGGGTCAGCAGTGAAAGAACCGGATCCTTTAGACATGTCAGAGGAGGCCAAGGCGGAGAGATGGTTCCGACGAGTTGCCCAGATCAAGGACATCTCGGAACTCAGTCAAATTCCTGACGAAGACTTCCCGTCGATTATGCCGATGCGGAAAGGGGTGAACAGGTTTGTTGTGAGCAAGAGGAAAACACCTCTAGAGAGGAGGCTGACATCTCCCCAGTACAGAAGAAATCTCCCCATTGTGAGCTCTGATCCAGTTAAAAAGGACAATGATCGTAGCTAAAGTATGGAGATTTTTCCTGTTCTAAAAATTTTTGACTCGTGATGTTGATCATTTTTATTCTTCATAATAGTCCTAGAGAAGGACGAACTGTTTAGTGTTAAAACTATATATGTGTTGTAATGTGTATAAAGATTTTAGCATTTGAGCCAAGTAAAATAAATTAATTAAGATGATTAAGGGGACGTTTGGTTGGAGGATTCAAACCATGATTTAAATTATGGTTCATGGTTCGTTACAGTATTTTCTCTCATAAAAAATATGATTTAAATTATAGTTCATGGTTCGTTACAGTATTTTCTCTCATAAAAAATACACGTAAATTGCAAATAATTCTAATCACATGATTCTAATTTATGAACCAAACGCCTCTTAAACTTTTATTGGATATCTCCATTTGTAAGTAAGGGCATCTCTAAACAACTCTTTAATTTTTAACAAAATTTTAGTTAAAATAGGGATTTTAACCCGATCGATCGGGATGAATATGAGTATTATTCAATAAATTTATTTGCGTTTTAAATTTAATAAATATTAAAATATTTTATGTTTAGTTAAAATAAAGAGTATAATTAGAGTGATTTATTTAAAATTTGTTATAGCTATTTTAATTAAAATTTCGTTGAAGTTTAGTAACCTATTAATAATTCTTTTAATGGATTTTTTTGTTTGTTTTTTTGTGGTTATAATGCACAGTGCACACGCATCAGCATTTTTCTTTTCTCCGTTATCTCTTTAGTCTCATCAATTATATGAGTGCGTTTAGAACTCATTTTAAAATAATTTTATTTTTTTTATATGAAAATAAAAATGAAAACATTTTCAATCTCAAACAGAAATTAGTTTTGAAAATATGTTTGGTAGTTTTATCAAGAAATTATTTTTAGTATAAAAAATCTATTAATGTCTCTCTCTACTTGAGAAAGAAGAAAACATAAACAAAAAATAAAAAATTCTCTTCTATTTACACTAAATTAAAAAATTATTTTCATTTTCTGTCTTTAATTTCCTTCCGCTTTTATTTTTTTTCTAAAAAAAACGTAAAAAATAGAAACAAAAACAACTGGGCTTATGTTTTCTCATCCCGATTTACCCTTTTACTTCTCTACTTGAGAAAGAAAAAAACATAAACAAAAAATAAAAAATTCTCTTCTATTTACACTAAATTAAAAAATTATTTTCATTTTCATTTTTTGTCTTTAATTTCCTTCCGCTTTTATTTTTTTTCTAAAAAAAACGTAAAAAATAAAAACAAAAACAACTGGGCTTATGTTTTCTCATCCCGATTTACCCTTTTACCCCTTGCGTTCTCTCGCTATGCGCGTTTCAATACACTCATCATAGCATACTAGCGCTGCCCCTTAAGAACAACAGCTGCAACCAAAAAAAAAAAAAAAAAAATAGAAGAGAGAGAGAGAGAGGAAAAGAATAGAAAAGAAAATTCTTAATTGAAGAGCGAAACCATTTTCAAGTTCCATTTTCAGCTTTACCTCTCATTGGAAGACGACGCAACCAGAAAATTCAAGAACATTCGGTAAGAAAACTCAGCTTTACTCTCTCTCTCTCTTCGAATCAATTACGTTTTTCTTTTTCATCTGGATTGTTCTTGATTTTGTTCTTAATCGATAGCTCTTAGAAATTTCTAAGGCCCTTAAACGTTTGCTTGATGAAATGTCTATAAAAAACTAACCGTTCTTAGCATCTATTTTGATAACCGTTTGTTAATTTGTATTTGTTCACGCTTCTGTTCATAATGCATACACTTATTTATTAGCTCCATTGCGAGGAAAAAAAAAAGGTTCAAATTTTTTTCTCCAGTTTTGGGAGTTGCCCTAGAAATTTAGATGTTAGTGTGCAAAATTAAGACAAGAAATGACACTGGAAATAAAAGAAATACTGGTCACACCAGTGAGAAATTAAAACAACAATAATTCTTTCCCTTGTTGTTTTGGAGATTTACTAAATTGATATTTATGTAGGTTAGAATTTCTTGCAATCAAACTTCCAATGGATCCTTTTTTGTATTTCACCTCGGAAATTAAATGGGTACTTTTACAATTTACTTACTGTCTATGTTTCAGCAAAACAATACCACTTTTATGCTTTTTCTCAACTACTGCCAAGAGCCCATATGTATACAACAGGAAGGAAATGAGAAGCAACTTGTTAAAACAAGAATCTTTTGTTGTTTTGTCTGATTTCATAGGTGTTTTTCCTGGTCAAACTTTCGAGAAACTCCAATGTGTAGCAGTTTGGACAGATTCCTCTTTTCTCAAGGATGGGAAGATTCCTTTTTTCTTGTTTTCTTCCTTCCTAGTTCATGGACGAGTTTTTGACTATTACAACACTATGCTTGTATTTTGATATTCTAATATTTGGAGATGACATAAATCAGAAACTTGTTCAAGGTTATGTTAGTTCCACAAAAATGGTTTCTCCAAAGCTTTCTTCTATCTGTTGCCTTTTTGTTTATATTATCATGCACTTTTTTGTTGGTGAACCCAATTGCTTCAAGTATTGATGCATGTGAGTGCATATGGATTGAGTGAATCCTTAGACAAGGCAGATTAGTTTTTAATGGTCTCCGAAAAGACTTCTCGTTATGAATTTGGAAGCAAAGTTAGCCCCATCCGGAGGCGTGACATTGATTGCCATGTTGCAGTGTGAATCGATGTTTTAGACTGAAGTGTGATTATTTGGAGGGAAAAAAAGTTATTGTGGACTTCAAATTGAGTGTGACCGTATATTTGTTTGCAGTTGAAGTGCGTCGTCAATTGATTGACTTATATCTGGTGGGTTTGTGTTTGATAGATCTACCATCCGAGCTGTCTTGTTGAGTTGATAATGAGAAGGACGGGTCAATATGCTGATTCGGGTGTCAATGCATATGTTGCTGCTCCGATGCATCATGCGCCTGGTCAGAGAATGGACAACAAGCCTGCTCAGTTCGAAGGACGGCTAGAAGCCTTCACCCCTGAAAGGGATAATTCCTATGCAACTTCAAAGGCAGATGGACAGTGGCGATGGGAAAGGGATGGATCAAAAATGCCAAATTCTCTTAGCTCTCAGATGTTCAACGAAGGTGAGTGTGTGATGACTTTTTTCTATTTTCTTTTGTTTTAGATAGTGTCACTTTTGCTAGTTATAAATATTCTAAAGCTAATACATTATTGATTAGTTTGGTCGTAATATATATTCTGGAGAGCTTGCATAAGAATGCTTCTCATAAAAGTGTTTAATCAATATTAAGTAGTTAAGTATACAGGTGAAAAACCATAAACGATGAATGGCACAAGAATTAAATCTAGATTCGGTTCTTCATGCTTCTACGATTACTTCAGATCATCAAATACAACATTTCTTGTGGTGCACTTGTAACGTGCATAACTTACATTCTATTCCATTTAACTTGCTTTAGCAGATATATATTATCAAAGAAATTATATACTTAAATGATATCATTATTTTAGGTGTATTTATAGGCTAAGGTGTACTCATGTTGAGGTCTTGGACCTATGTACTATTCCTAAGCATTTATATAAATATAGTGCAACAAGAGCTCTTAATCATCTAGCGGACTTGGCTTGCTTGTACCATCTATCACAGAAAAAGATTGTGGCAATCATCATCTGGCAGAATTGATAGAGGAATGGTATCAGTTGCAAAATTGATGTTGGATATGATGTCTCTTCTTCTTCCATCTCTCTATTCTTTCCTTTTTCTTTCTACATTCTCCATTTTGTATCCATTTTACCCCCGAAATCCTCTTTAAATCATTTCTCAACATACATCTTACTACAATTTGCTTATTTTGATGCATTTAGCTTGGAACTTGCACTCCATTTTGAAGTGAAAAATTTTAGAGTACTTTTAGAATCAACCACCGTCTTTCTAAACATCTTTCTTTGATGCACTTAGTTTCAAATTGACAAACGTTTTAGTAAACATCTTTGTTTGATGCCTCAGATTTCAGTTAACTTGCTAAGGTTCTCGTATGCCTTTTATATTTTCCAGAAGTAAGTTTTTTAATCTTTTTTTTTTTTGGGGGTCGCATTCTTGCACTGTAGGCCAAGGCGGTGATACAACAAGATCCTATTTCCAGGGTCAGAGGCCTGATGCAAAAATGAGTTTAGAGAAACAAAGCAACATTGATACCAGATCACAACGCAATGAAGACATGGATATAGGATATGAAGAAAATCCTGCCGTGCAAACCTTTCAAAGTCTAGAGGAGAAAGTCCATGATGATATTATGAAACTAATCAAGGAACAAAATGATGCAGAGGATGCAGAAAACGCTAGACACAGAGAGGTTGGTTTTGATCTTTATGCTTTTTCGTCCGCTCCTCGTTCCTCTTAGATGTTGCTGTGCCCAATTTTAGATGGGCTAAGTAGATAAACTTGTGTCTGTGCCTCAACATTCAACAACAGAACTTTTCTTTTTCATTTGTAAGAATATATATATATATATATATATTTATATAGTCTAAAAAGGGGGAAAATATTTCTTTCTTTATTTAATTTTTAAGATGTGTAAATTACTTTTTTTTTACTTGGCACAGAATGGACGAACAGTAAATTCCGTAATTACTGTTTATTTACTTTTAAAATCCTTGTGGTAAACTTCTCACATAGTGGTGCATTATTCCTATCTTTTCATGGTCAGCAAATCAATGCAATCAATGCTCAGTATGGGGAGCAACTAGTTGCACTTCGAACCCGGCATTCCAACCGCAGAGATGAATTCCTTAGGATGGAATCAAGCAATAGACAACAGGAATACCAGAAAGCTGTGGTGGATCGTTACCCAAACAGCAGTGTTGGGCCTAATGATCCTCATGGTTATAGTGGATTTGCGGCTTCAACTGTAGCAGCAGCATCAAATGCACACAGAGGCTATGAAAATGAGCAATATGATTCCTACAGAGAACGTGCTCGATTTCTCGGAGGTGCAAGAGATCACGGGTTTGAGCCTAGAGGTCCATATCCTGGAGGCCGTGTTTATGATACTGGCTCACGCTACTACTAATTGTGGGTTGACTTTGGACTTTTTCTTGCCAGTTGACCTGTTCTTCCCTCCAGATTTTTCCGGTATCACTTGCGCTCCTCCTACTTGTATACATGTAATCTGCAGTTGACTTTTCCTTTAAGATTATGCACAAGATGCTTTGTTAAGAAAACTTTTTTCTTGAGAACAGAAAATTTTGAATACTAAAGTTTTGTCCATATATGCACTGCACTGGCATTTCGTGGTGCAAAACTTATCCAAAAGGAAAAGTATGCTTGTTAGATTCACATTTAGTAACGTACCAAAACGTATATGCTGTAACATCTATTCACATCTATTCTAATCTAATCTAATCTAACTATGTTAAAAGTGTGGATATGTCCACTTCTACCTTAGGTCTGCATTGTTAAATTTCGAAGGGTTTTTGAGGCAAATGCCGGGCAGATAGTAAGATCTGGTTTTTTTTTTTTTCATGGAAAATAAATTGTATAAATTTCCCAAACTGTAGTCCCTTTTTCATTTTGCCCCCGAATTTGGAAAACTGGCCATAGCTTCCCCTTGAACTTAAAAAAAGTTAGCAAGGTGAGAACAGGGCTGGATTGAATGATGGATACGATACATTGCAACCGCAGATAGCAGCGGTGGATTGCAGTGAAACTGTGAAAAACCGCAGATAGCAGTGGTGGATTGCAGCGAAACTGTGAAAAAGTAAGTGCGGAAAGATGCGGCGTCCTCCTTTATGATTAATGGTAAACCCTTGGGAAAGATTTTGCCAATGCCTGGTATTAGACAAAGAGACCCACCTTCTTCATATTCATTCTTTCCTTCTTTGTGTTCCAAGGGGTTTTCTTCACTTGCAAGGCAAGCCGAAAATTTAGTGACGGTTCCTGAGTTCATTATGGATAACCGGCCTTCATGGAATTTTCTCAAGCTTCAGCGAACTTACTGATGTCTGACTTATTTTATCGATCCCGGCCTCTCGGTATTATTATTCGAGGACGAGACAAAACTATCTGGAGCAATTCTCATGATGGTTGTACTTATCAACAATTGGTGGTTCTGATCAATTGTGCTTGTTTCTGTTTCTGTAACTCAGCTTGGGATCTTGGCGGAGATCTTCCACGTCCATAGAGGGGTCTCCTCCCTGCTTGCGGAGTTCATCCGGCATCATCCGCTCTACCACGGTAGAAATATCATCCTTCCTTTTCTCGATTCTTTTCCGATCAAGAAATTCCAAATACTTTTGAATCTTTGCCGGATAAATGGGATCAATAGGCCACACTTCGATTCAATGTAATTCCATGATAAGTTTCAATACTTATAAACTCAATGTATTTTCTAAATATATTATTGTATTATCTTACTAATTTTTTCTCTAAATCTACTATACTTAAATGTGTAATAATTAGATTTAACGAACATAATTCCAACATAATTGGCACGTGCCTACTTTCCAACTAGTTAGTACAAAAATTTGGTTTGGTTCGCATCGTTTGAAAAGTTTTTTGACTCCACAACTGAGTTGTATGTTGCAATGTGTCACACAAACATGATTTTTTTTTTTTTACTGAGATTTACAGCTCATGTGATTTTTTTTTATTTTTTAGGTGACATGCCATAACTTCCATATATCATATTTGTATCACAAATTTTTTATTATTGAATTTCTGTTACATTTTATTAATCTTTGATTAGTCTATTGTAGTCGGCGACATAAATTTGGAAGGGACTCTTTTTTGTTGAAAATTCTCGTCAACTTTCATGCTCTAGTCAAGCACTAATATCATATGAAATCAAAGATAGTCCTAAGGACTTCTTTTCATAACTTAAATTCTATTAGTATAGTATTTTTTCTTATAAAATTTTAAATTTAACTTTTTTTACTAAAGTGTTTTTCTCTCACATATAACTTAAGTTAAGAATTTGAGTTGTGAAATAAATTTAACTAGGATTGCCACTTGTATTAGATGGAGAATATTGTTATCTGTTTTTTTGGTAAAAAACTATCTGATTTTTTGCTAGTAAAATTAAAAAGTTATCTGATTAGTTATTCGTCATGCTTTTTTGGATTTTTTTTAATTTACTTTTTTAGTATATTTTCGTCTTCTTCTTTTTTTTTGTTGTTGTTGATAAAATAGACATGCGGAAATAATGGGTTTGTTTGGTAATGTTTTTAAAATGATTTTGTTTTCAGTACAAAAGTGAAAATGAGATTATTTTGAAAATTATTCTGAGACGATTCTGAAATTGCGTTTAGTTAGCATTTTAAGAGATTGTTTTGAGTATAATAAAAAAGTAAAATCGTGTTTGGTTATATTTAATAACCTATTATTACTTGTTTTATTGTTAATATGTTATATAATTAATTTTTAGTAATTAATCTTTAACTAAATAATTAATTACTATATTATTTATTATTTCATTAATAAAATTAAAAACTTAATAGTAATAAATTAATATTTAATTAATAATTAAGTAATTACTATCTATTTATTAGTTACTAAGTATATCTATTTATTAATTATTAATAAAAACAACTTTCAATCGTTTTTTATTTTATTTACAAAAATCATTCTCATTATTTTTTATTTTCGTTTCTGTTTGTAAAATTTTTATTAAACAAACGTGATTTGTAAATCGTTTTTTTTTTATAGCTCAAAAGACGTAGGAAAACGTTTTTGAAAACAATTTTAAATACACCTAATATCTATAATGTTTTTGTTTTTAAACTGTTATGCATTTTACTATAAAAAATCGGGGAGTGAAAAGGATGAATCACACCGGTGAGAGAGAGGTATTTCGCATCTGACAATGCATTTATTTATCATTTTTTTTACGATTAATATTTATCATATAAATTTATGAAAAAGAGCAGTCAGGAAGCTAAAAAAAAATAATAAATTTATACTAAAAAATATAATAAATTTCCCTAAAAATATGTTAAATTAAAAAAAAAAAAGAAAAAACACCCCACCAATAACATCACATGTTATGAATTTTGCACAGAAAATATAAATACGCACCTATTTATTTATTTTATATATAACATTTTCCCTCGCTCCTCAAATCCTCTTCACAGAAAAAAGATCCACTTGTTCCTTTTGCAAATCCGCCACTCTCTCTCTCTCTCTCTCTCATACGGATGATCTGCACATTGGCAAACCATTTCTAAATCTTCTCTCTCTCCCTCTCTTTCTCTCTCTTCCTTTTCTCTTTGAAGAAGAATGGACACTGGTCTCTCCGAAGATCTCTCGGATTCAACTCAGCTCCATGACTCGGACACCGAACAGCGACTCTACTTCGTTCCGTACAGGTTCCCTCTCCTCTCTCCTCTCTTTCTCTGTAGATTCACTTCATATCTCTTCAATTCAGATCCTATCCACAGCATTCTGAAATCTGAATCCGAAACCTTAATCGATTTTCCCTGATTCCGTTTGTAAATGAGACAGAGAGAAGGAAATGTGACTTAGTAGGATGGTGCTGCGGAAACTTATTAAAACGTTTTGTTTTGGTATCGCGATTTCTGAGGTTTGAGTGTTGTTTGTGGATTTGATGTGTTGTGAAATTGGGCGATTTTCAGGTGGTGGAAGGATGCGCAAGATTCGGTATTGGGAGATTCCAAGGGAAAGACGCCTCGCCGGCTTCTCTATACGCTGGTCCGATGAAGATCATCAACAACATTTTCAACTCGGATCTTGCATTCAATCTCAGGAGAGAAGAGGATTGTGCGGGGAATAGTGAGAATGGTGAAGTTGGCATCTCGGGGAGAGACTTTGCGTTGGTTTCTGGAGAAATGTGGGTTGAGGCACTCAAATGGTAAGTATACAATAGTTTGCTAGCTTCTTATATGCTTTCAAAGTGAATTGGGAAAGCTACTAGTAGTTAGTAGAATGACCTGTAAATTATTGAATTGTTATTTTGTTCATCAAAAGAAGTTTGTATACTCGAACAGTTTTTGTTGTGAATGAATCTAAGGCATTAATTGTGTTTCTCGTTTTGACCTTCTGGCACTTAACGGGCCGTTCTGTAGTGGTCTGGAAGTGGTTTGATGTGAATAAGAATCGGCTGTTTTCTTCCATGCATGTTGGAGATAAACTTGTTTTCATGCAGGAAAGTTTTCATTCTTGAATTTTATTCTTTCTGATAAATTGGGTTCTATGTGATAACACGAGGAAGGATAGTGTCTTTACGGGTTGGTTTCTAGATGGCACAAATATCGACAATATGCAACATTTGCTTTGTGGTTTCTCCCCCAACTTAGATCTTCCAGATTTCTAGCAACTGATGAAAATTCTTCAGCAGATCGTAGGTCTTTGATACTTGTTTTGTCTGTTTGTATTTTCCCCCATTTTTAGTGTGTTCTCTTTTGTGATGAGCGATTTGACTTTTTATTAGTCTTTTTTTTTTTCATACCATAAATTATCTATATATGATGGGCCTCTAGATGTAATCCATGTAGTGTTTCATACGTTCTGTTTGATAATAAATCCATGTAGTATCTTAAAGTGGGATGCTGTTTATTGATGTAGGCATAGCGATTCAAAATCGTCAACGAAGGAAGGTAGAAGTTTTTCAGCTGCAGAAGATGACATGGCAGATGTCTATCCTTTACAACTCAGGCTGTTGGTTTTGCGAGATACAAATTCTTTGGGAGTGAGGATTAGCAAAAAGGTCAGTGTACAAAAGTAAAAACCTTTTCTCTGTAGTTACGCTTTTCATTAACACACTTTTAGATTAAGATCATTGATTTACCTTCTGAACATGAGTTATAACTTGGAAGAATAAAATATTCCTTATGATGCCCATCATTCGGTCATTTCTTTTTTTAATTTTCCTTATAAATGCATGAGACCTATTTAATAGAATAAAAATGATTTATTTTCTTTGGAAATTTGGTCATTTTTTGTTCTCTCACAAATTGATATAAGAGGTTATGTTGTCTCTGGACCATTTATTATCCTTAAGCATAGAAATTGTAGAGCTGGCTGAATGACACATTATTGAGGAGATTTTCTAATTATTAATCACCTTAATAATGATTAATATCCATCACTGTTGTTAAACCGGTCTGTTTATTCCATGTAGCTCTTATGCAGGTTTATTTATTTTCTTTTAGGATAATGCAGTTGAGTTCTATAAGAGAGCCTGCAAAATCTTCGGTGTGGAGTTGGAACTGGTAATTAAGCCTTAATTTAGGAATATCATTCTTTTTATGATCAAGTAGAGTGCTTTTAACTAAAACTTCTTGTGCAGTTACGCATCTGGGACTTCTCTGGTCAGACAAATCTATTTTTGCTAAATGATAAAATTAAATTTCCAAGAGCTTGTCAACGACAGTCCGATGAGGTAATTGCCGCTTGATTTGGCTTAATATGATGCTTCGCATTAATACTTGTGCAATCTTGTAGGTAGCTAGTGTGTATCCATGACTTCACCCTTTTGAGTTTGAGACTTAATTATGCTACGTGTTTAATATTATTTTGGAGTACGCAAATAGGTTTTGGGATTCACAAACTTCTATTGCTTTGTGCGGTGTAATTATTGCGTGTGTGACATCTCGTAGTTTTGCACTAGTCTCAAAAAATTGGTCTTTTCAATCTTTACTTGTTGAAAACTTAAGTTTCTGTTCAATCATGTATTCAAATACATTTTTTGCACTTGGCCTTGCTCTTGGATGTTGTTCCTGTTGCCTTTTTTTTTTTCCCTGCTAAAGAGCACAGGTCTTGGTGTTGCCTTAGTTTCTCACTAGCCTGACTTGCCCTTTAATATGGCTATGTTGCGTAACTATTCTGTTATCGTGATAAAACCTTCTTGATATCTTCCTACTGCATGTAGAATGTCAAGCAGAAAATGTTCTTCTTATCCTCCTAGTTTTTACAAGAAAAAAAAGGAGGTTTGCTCTTTATAGTTATTCTTTACGTTTTCTTAAGGGTTTTTTTTTTTTTGGTGATATCCTATTAAGAGAAATGGTTTTCAATAACTTACTTTCGTTATTGGAGTCACGAACATTGTCACCATCATTGTTACTATTTGATGTTCGGTTCCTATCTTATGTAATAGTAATAGCTGAAGTACTACGTAATGGATAGTTGTTGAGTCAAAGAAAATGTAATTTTGGACTCGTCTCGCTCTCTTTATGGTTTAAGAACTTCCATACTGAGATGTAACATATAGCTTTGGTAATGGTATTATCAAAATAGATCATGAAGACATAATACTGTTCATGATTCCTCTTACAGAACTGAATATGTTTCTTTTAAGTCCTGAGCCAGTGATGTTATAGATGTTACATGTTCTTTGGTATCTTTGTATTGTTCTTGAGCAGAAAATATTGTACAAGGGTTTACTTTTCTGGTTCTTTGGCTATTAACCGATATGATAATGTATCTTTTTACAGATTCTGTTGGACTTGCAAGTTTATGGGCTATCAGACTCAATTAAGTGCAGGGATGGGAAAAAAGATGACATAGTAGCACAACATCCATCCGTGGCAAATTCCTCTTCAGTGATGATGAACGGTAGTGCTGGCAATGCAAGTTCAAACTTCCTTCGTCCAACTTCATCATTTTGGGGAAGCTCTTGTGAAGCGGGGACTTTGGGATTGACAGGATTAACAAACCTTGGAAATACTTGTTTCATGAACAGTGCAGTTCAGTGCTTAGCTCATACACCGAAGCTTGTTGACTATTTTCTTGGAGATTATGGTCAAGAAATAAATCATGAAAATCCACTGGGCATGGATGTATGTCTTGTATCTCTAGTTAACTAGTTTCTTATTATTTGTGAGTTGTATTTTTTATTTAAGCTACCCAAATAAGAGGTACTGTAATTACAGACACTATTTTCCATGCTTGATCATTTTATTATTCACTTTTTTGTCCAGGGTGAGATTGCTTTGGCATTTGGAGATCTGCTAAGGAAATTATGGGCTCCTGGAGCAACTCCGGTAGCTCCAAGAGTATTCAAATCAAAACTTGCTCGATTTGCTCCTCAATTTAGTGGCTTCAATCAGCATGATTCTCAAGTCAGTAAGGTTTCTTGCCTTCTGAATTTCTTTCAGTATTCGGAGTTTTACAAAGTTTTTAGCTTTTTATTTTATCTTAATTTGGTGATTCTTATCGTAATAGGAGCTCCTGGCATTTTTGTTGGATGGACTCCATGAAGATCTCAACCGTGTAAAATACAAACCTTACATGGAAGTTAAAGATGGAGATGGTAGACCTGATGAAGAAGTTGCTGATGAATATTGGAGGAATCATTTAGCTCGCAATGACTCTATCATTGTTGATGTGTGCCAAGTAAGCGACTTCATTTTAGTGTATTGGCATGCTTGTCCACTTTTTCTTCCAGATCTGCTGATCTACCTTATTCTGTACATTTTCTTTATCGTTTTTCTTTTTAATTCAAGCTTTAATTTTTCAGCTCATATAGACTGTAAATTCTGCAGGCTTGATACCAAATTGTTATTTTGATGGACAGAAATTTAAAAGTTGACAAAAAACATTTGTAAACCAGTGTATAATTTCTGACGATAGATTGATACAGCTGCCTTATCAGGTGGCAAAAATCGAAATACATCTTATGACTTGTCAAAAACATTTATAAACCAGTGTATTATTCCTGACTATGGATTGATACAGCTGCCTTATTAGGTGGCCAAAATCCAAATAGATCTTATGACTAATGTTTTTAATTGGTATATAAATTTATCAGGTTGGATATTAGATGCATGTTTGTTACGTGCTGAATATCTGTGTATTGTTGTTCTGATTATGTGCCGGGTAGGCAACTATTCTACTGTTTCTTGGAATTTTCACTTTAGGAGGAACCCTAGTGAGAGGGAGTTTGGTGAGGTGGTGGAGCTGGTATCCTGTTTGGAGGGGGTGAGAGTGTGCTGCTTTAGAAGATAGATGGGTTTGGGCTTTGGAGGGGTCAGGTCTGTTCTCTTGTAAATCCCTTTTCAATTTTCTAGTCAACAACCAATCTTTTCCGCCCTTTCCTTGTCACCATTTTGTTTGGAAAATCTCGATTCCTATGAAAATTCAGGTTTTTGGCTGGTTACTTTCACTTTGTAAATTGAATACGCAAGATATGTTGCAAAAGAGGAGGCCATTCCTCTCTATTTCCCTGGATTGGTGTGTGTTGTGCAAGAATGAAAATGAGACTTCAGATCACTTGTTCCTTCATTGCTCTTTTTCTTTGAAGATATGGTGTAAAATTTTAGGGGAGTTTCATTTACAGTGGGCTTTTCGAAGAAGTGTTCGTAATTTAATGGGTCTTGATGTTTCGGGTGGATGGATCATGGAATAAGAAATCTAAACGGGTATGGAACATAGTAATCCTAGCTTCTCTTTGGGCGTTGGGCTGGAAAGGAATAATCGAACCTTTGATGGGGTAGAGGGAGAGGTTTGTGAGGTTTGGGATCGCATAATTTACTGGGTGGCGCTGTGGACTTCGCAAGATAAAGAATTCAAGGCCTTTTCATTCTCGGATCTTCTAAGGGGATGGGATTTAATTTTAGTCTTGCTGTTGTAGTCTTTTGCATTTGTGTATTTTTTTTCCTAAAAGGTTGTATTTCTTGACTGCCTAGTTTGCTTTGAGTACGCCTTGTCCTCTGATGTTTGTACTCTCATTCATTTTTAATATCATTTATTGTTTCTTATTGGAAAAAAAATTGAGAAATTGAATTTATTAAACTTGTTTTGCTTTTTACTAATTGTCAGAGGACTGGACAATATAAATAAATTGGAATTGGTAAAATGTTTTTTAAACAGGTGGATTTCTACACTGAACATATAAGTTTCAAATATTTTGCAGCTTTATGGCAACGTATACCCTTTTCTTTTTTTGTGCTAAAGTTGCTTCTTGGTGAATTTTCCTTTTTTTTTTTTTAATTTTTTTTAATTTTTTAATTTTTTAATTTTTTTTTTGTCAGCTTGATTGAACAAATTTAGTGCCATCCGCCAACCTTCCTTTTCTTCTTTTTTTTTTTTTTTTTTTTTTTTTTTTTTTTTTTTTTTTTTTTTTTTGCAGGGTCAATACAAATCAACATTAGTTTGCCCTATCTGCAAAAAGATCTCTATTACTTTTGATCCATTCATGTACTTATCACTTCCTTTACCTTCAACAACAATGCGGACAATGACTTTAACAGTTGTGCATACTGATGGAAGTTGTCAACCATCACCGTATACCATTACTGTGCCTAAGAATGGGAAATTTCAAGATCTTATTGCGGCTTTAAGCATTGCTTGCTCTTTGGAGAGTGGTGAGACCTTACTAGTAGTTGAGGTATGTCAGATTTTTAATCTAAATGTAATTCGTTTTATGTGACTGGTAGTGGATGTGAGATCTGTAAATACTTGTTTTTATGTTTGTATGTTTTCATGTTTATATATTTGTCAGTATGTTTCATTTCTGAAATTGTATAGATCTCTACAGATATACAACAATCGCATTATACGTTATCTTGAGGAGCCAACTGATTCACTATCATTGATTAGAGATGAGGACCGGCTTGTTGCCTATCGGTTAATGAAAGATATTGAGCAAGTTCCTTTGGTTGTCTTCATGCATCAGCGAATAGAGGAGTAAGTTTTATCTACCTCATTTTCGTGCATATTTCCTGTTCATAATACCCTTTATAAACGACCATATATTTTCATGATATGGTAGCTACTGGACTATATGTTAAAATTGTTTTTATTCATTTATTTATTTATTTATTTTTTATGATTTTTTATAGAACAGAGATAACTTATCTGCTGAACAAGCTTTATGCTATTTGCTGGTTAGCGTTTTTTTACTTTATGATTCTTTTGATTTATGATTTTTTATAACATGTCTCTGTGTGCCTCTTTATAAACCACTTTCTCTCATTCATATATAATAATATAAACAACATTGTCTTCGAGGGATGATTTAACAGAAAGATGAATTCTTTTCTTTTTTTGTTTTGTTTTGTTTTGTTGGTCTTTTTGTTTCATTTTGTTTTGTTTTGTTTATTTATTTATTTTTTGTTTTTGTTTTTGTTTGTTTGTTTGTTTGTTTTTGTTTTTGTTTTGTTTTGTTTTTTTGTTTTTTTTTTTTCCGTGCTTTGAACCCCTTTTTTTGCATTCTTTGTTATCTTATTCAATCCATGTTGTCAGGCAGTACATACATGGGAAGCTGATGTCAAGTTGGAAAGCATTTGGAATTCCTCTTGTAGCAAGGCTTTGTGATTCCCTTTCTGGTTCTGATATCCAGAATTTGTATTTGAGATTGCTCAATCCATTTCAAGTACCTGCTAAAGAATCTTTGGAAGATGCAGACAGTCCAGAGGGCATTGCATCTGAAGACACTACACAGCAAGAGAATATTTTAAATCCTGATGTTGATGGGTCTGTGAACGCCAGTTCTATTAATGGGGTTAACTCGCCCACAGATGCCAAATTAGAGTTTTACTTAGCAGATGAGAAGGGAACAATTAGGGAATCTAAGATAGTAATGAATGAGTCTGTGGTGGTGACAGGGATCTCAAGGAGGTTAAATGTGCTTGTATGGTGGCCTGAAAAGAATATTGAACAGTATGATACTCAGCTTCTTAGCTCGTTGCCTGAGGTTTTCAAGTCTGGCCTTTTTGCAAAGAGACCTCAAGAGTCTGTTTCTCTATATAAATGCCTTGAAGCTTTCTTGAAAGAGGAGCCTCTTGGACCAGAAGACATGTGGTCAGTTTTTACATATTAAGACTTCAGCTTCAGAAATGCTTTGCGGTGTATCAACTATTTTCTGTGTTTTTTGTGTCAGCTTTCTTTTGTTTGCACATGTGTTGCAGTAGTTAGAATGGTCTTTCACTGAACGTTTTCATACTTGTTCTGTTGACTACCTCACGAGCTTATTATAGTTCTTTTAATTTCTTGAATAATACATTTCATCTGCATGGTCCCTATCATCTAGAGCTTTCTCTGTTACGCTACTTTTTGTATTTTTATTTTTCCTGTTTAAGTCTATATAGTATATATAAATGCTTTTGCTTTGAAATACTTGATTGAAGCTTGTGTGAAGTCCAACATAAAATCCTACACTCTTGGTGCTTTGGTTTTATCAATGGAAACATTTAGAACATTTAACATTTATCTGTAATACGAGTTGGGGCTCTGCGATCACTTTTTCATTATCATTGCATCAACGGTTGTCTAAACTGCTGCTATACTGCTTTCTTTTCGTTCTGTTTTCCATCAAATGACTCAAGGATCTTCAGTTATGTTCTTTTTATCAGTCCAAACCACAGAACACATTTTCTTGAAGTAGAATTTTTTGTTTTCAGTCACTATTTTCAAGCTACATTTTGAACACTTTTTGTCTTTATGGTTATGACGTTATGTCTTTCATTGATTATTGCTTTTCTATCGTTAATTTTTATTGCAATTTTTTTAAAAGAACTTTGTGTATGCTTTTGGTTCATTCTTCTGGGTGGAAAATGGTTGAATTTGTGTTTCTAAAAATTCAGATACTTAATCAGGAAAATGAAAAAAAGGTCATACTTTGCATTTTAATTTTTCATTTACAAGACTTTATCCAACATGGATGATAAATTCATATGTTTGTAGGTTACAATTCATAATTTTAATAATACTTCTGATTCCATTTATTCTACGTTGAAAATGTAGAATAAATGCAGCATCAAAATTATGGTGTAGGGACCAAAACTGCTAAAAAAAAGAAAAAAAGATCAGGAAGTATATGTAAAAAAGAAAAAAAAAAGTTGCGAGACCAAAATCATCATAATGCTAATAGTTTATGTACTAAAAGCACTACAAACCCTTTGGTTTATGAACCATTCCTTGTTTTCCTTTGCTTAAATTTTCGAAGTATTTTGTTTGGCCAATTGATTTTGCTTATGAATGCTTGTGAAATGATTTACTCTAGTTAGATTTAGGTGGGAGACAAGCATCTCTTACCTTGTTTGAACTTTGTTATTAATGCTCTTTTAAACTGCTATTTATCATTTCAGGTACTGTCCTGTTTGCAAAGAGCATCGTCAAGCCAGCAAGAAGTTGGACCTCTGGAGACTGCCTGAGGTCTTGGTTATTCACTTGAAGCGGTTTTCATATAGCCGATTTTTGAAGAACAAGCTAGAGACATATGTTGACTTTCCCGTAGACAATCTTGATTTGTCGACGTATATTGGCCACAAAGATGGTCAATTGAGTAACCGTTACATGCTTTATGCTGTGAGTAATCACTACGGAAGCATGGGAGGTGGTCATTATACTGCATTTGTCCATGTAAGTATCATTTCTTGCTCTGAAAGTTCTCTCTCTCTCTCTCTCTCTTTTTTTTTTTTTTTTTTTTTTTCCATATTTGGAGGCTTGGTCCGACTGTGTTCAAGTGTTTTGCCCGTTCTTCACGTGCTAGTGCTGTTTGTACTTCATGATTTATTTTGCCATTGTGTGAACCTGGTGTGCGATAATGGTAGCATAGTTATTTTATGCATGAATTAGCACTCGGAAAATATTTATTACTATGACATATACATCTGATCGTCTTGCTCATGCATCTGCTAAACCTTTTACAGTTGTGCCTCATACTTGAACTTGGATTAAGTTCTTATACTAGCAGTTTGGTTGATTTTATTGGTATTCCCTGCTGACAGAAGCACACTCCTTTCATGTAACTATCGTTACAAGTTTATCCATAGTTACTAGGCACTACAAGGATAATTACTAGTTCTGCTCTTTTTCTTCTTTAGGAGTTTGCACCTGCGTGCGTTTTCTTGGCCAGTTCAAGCCCTTTTGGTCTGGTTTTTTGAATTTTTGATCTATGTATTTCTTTCTTTTCTTTTATTTAAATATGAGTGTCAGGCTTGGTGTGTGATCAGGGGGTAGGGGGTGCCAAGATTGTTGGGATGTCCTATTGCCCTTTGATGCCATTGTTCGTCCTCCACATTTTTTTAAAAAGGACAATCCTAACACCCCGACATTGTCCCTACATCTAAACCTGTCAGTTTTGATGAAAGTTCTCACCGAATTAACCAAATCAACTTCTTTAAAAGAAAATAAAAACAGTGATCCCCTCTACACTTCATGTCTATATTGAAAACCACTTTACTGAAATAAAACAATCGTAAATAAACTCTGCAATGCAAAGTAAATTAGTAACATTACGAGGGTGTAACATTAATAAATAAAACTTTAAATCATTTAGTAGTGTAAATTTAGAAATTGTAATGCCTTCTCTGAATTACTTGTCACTTGACATGATGTTACAATGTTTTTTTTTTCCGAGTGCTTACTATCATTGAGCCCTAAACCCTTAACTAATATTAGTGTTAATTTAGAAGAGTACTTTAGTTTATATATATATATATATATAGAATAATGCTATGGCACCAACTCAAATCCCAACTCTTGTGTACCAACTGATGTGACATGTGATTTATCTTTTTATTAGTAGATGCTGTCACTTTCATTAGTTGACGTGGCAATCACTTTCATATATATATATATATATCTATCTTCCTTTACTGACCTGTGCGGGAAGCTACATGCTACTGTTCCACTTTTTCTCTATTCAACAGCCTCCTAAGCGAGACTTGATTCATTTAGAAGTTGAACTCAAGACCCTGCTTTGCTTGTATTTCATTACAAATGATTAAAGTTTTAGTCATTATCTTTTGGTATGTCACACTGATTGTCAAACGTTTTCTTACGTAGCATGGGGGTGATCGGTGGTACGACTTTGATGACAGCCATGTTAATCCCATCAGCCTGGAGAAGATAAAGTCTTCAGCTGCTTATGTTCTTTTCTACAGAAGAGTTGTAGAATCATAACCGATATTTGGATTTGATTCATTCTGCCTGGTATGTTTGTGACACACCTTTGTGATCATTTTTGTTCTAGTTTTACAACTAAAATTACCAAGAGTAGAATTCTCTGTCTTTGGCCTCGTTTAAATCAAAAGCATCGGAGTTTCCTTCATGGACAAAGCTGGAGGAAAGGTTAATACTCAAAGGAGGCGCCAAGGATCACTTGTAACGAATGAAGAGATGAGAAAAATAGTGAGGGTATTATTTACACCTGTAACTATTTGCTATAGAAAAATCCTAATAACTAGATTAGAGGGTTTTCTTTTTTCTTTTTTAAATATGGGTTTCTTCTAACCCATACAAAGTGTAATTCTTTATTTTTAATATTTGATGAACAATATTGATTTATTAGATAGTCAATTGATGAAATATTATAATTTTTTTATTTGCGATTTTATTTTCCATAGAGTAATATCGTGCGCCTTTATCAATATGGTCTCCAGAAATTGTGTCGAGTGTATCGTGGGGGAAAAGCCTTTCAACTAACGGCTCCCTTTTTTTAAACTCTTTTTTGGTGAAACTGGAATCGAATTTGTTCAAAAGTCAGAAGACTCTGTTGCAGCGTATCCGGAATGCATAGAGAGATCTCTTCCAATCAGAATTGGTCATAATGAAACGAAAGTGCTTTACGGGCTAGTGTGTGGGCTGCCATAATTCTTGTACTGAGGTATATGGCAACAAGAACAACCACCTACTCTATCTAACAGCAATTGAACCAACAACAGCCAGCGAATTCTTACCGCGAGCGAACTCTACTCGCTGCATTCAAGTCGCCGCTTTCCACTGCATAGCTTGCAGCCCACTCCACCGTGACAACAAGACCTTCTCGAATAGCAAGGCAGTTGGCTCTATCAAGATCAAAGCGACCAGGTAGCTTCTTTGAGAAGACCCCCATCGCAATCCCATAATGGTTCCAAATCAAATCTCCCACCACCCCGTTCTTGTTTGAGTCGGTTAAAACAAATGCATTGTTTAACAATACCGGGGTTCAACAGGGTTCACCGTTGATCTGCCCCTCTAAAGGATCTTACCGGCGCCTCCGTACCTCTTTGACGCGCTTTGAAATCTGCCAAACACTAGCTACTGATCTCCGAAATCTGTCCAAGACCGTGGGGATATCCTCCATACAGCCATAAGTTACGACAATCATCCAAAATAGCTTGAATTGCTCGACATCTAGCTTATCCTGCAGTCTCTGTACTGAAGAAGGGAAACACAAGATGCCGAAGTTGAATAAGTTGCGGCCAGAACACGTTGTGCAGCCAAACCTCACTTGCACCAATAGCTCATAAAGACAAGACTCTTATTCAGACTTACATCGAGGACAAATAGGGGGAGCTGCTCACTCCACAATGGCAAAGATTGCCCAAAGTCAGAATTACATCGTGATAGGCCCACCATATGACCTCAGGAGGAGAAAATTTATGGAGCATAAACTTGAGTCAAACACATTTAGAAGTTTCTAGACCTATGGAGGTCAAAAGTCAGTTTGAATTTCGGATTCTTGCCTCTAATAAATACCACTTTTGGCCAATTTATTTGTCAACTCGGAAGGGTAGCTGACGCCTTTGCTCTAAGATCGAAGAGATTAAGTGTGCAGGCTTCCATCATATCATCATCGTACGACCCTTGGAGGAACCGTAAAAATGCTACCAACTTGGCCTATAGATATTCCCTTCTTTCATGCTTCTAACACACAAATTAACAACCCATTTCTCTCGCGTTTCGGGTCTTTCCAAGTTTGCGCTGTTCAGACTTGGCTCTGATCTTCAAGTTTGCGCTCTTCAAACTCAAAGTTTCTTCGAAGATGTTCTTGAAGTTTTGCCCAGACTTCAAACTCAACATTGATCTGTTCTATTCAAGCCTCATCCAACTCGTCCAGTCAGTTCTCTATCAACCGTTTGGCTGCTCCTCCCATATCACTTCATCAACATAGTTCCTTTATTACTATCATTATTTTGCATTCTCTATCATTTTGCATGGATACTTTGGACATTTGGCAATAAAGTGGGTCCTAAAATATATTTTCTTCGTCCCAATTTGGACCTAACCATCCCCATTAGGAGTCGCACCAGCATTATCTATCTTGAAAATTACTAATGGTTTCAGCCACATTGGAGCCAACTCTAAGAAGTCGAATACTTAGTGCCCGTTTAGTTCACTGATTCGAGTTGAGATGTGATTTTATGTGAGAGTTTTTTATTGTAACAAAAAAGTTAGATGTGATTGTTTCTGAAAACTTTTTACTATAGCAAAACTCGAAATCTAAACTCAAATCGGTGAAATAAACTGGGCCTTAACCTGTGCACCCTCAACACCTCACACCCTCCAGATTCAGCCCCAACAATAGTCAAATAAATAAAAGCAAATAGCAAATACAGTGAAAGAAATAGTAAAAAAAGGGATTATGTGGTTACTATTTATAACTATTGCCATTATTTACATATAGTGAAATGTTGAAAAACTATTAGGCAAGGATGTCAAAAATATTCCAAGTCATGCCTATCAAAAAGGCTATGTGCACTTCAAAAAAAGTAGAGGCAGCAGGCGTAAGAAAAGGAAAAAAAAAAAAAAAAAAAAAAAAAAAAAAAAAAAAAGAGAGAGAGAAAAGAGGGTGGGTGGGTGTTGGTATGAAATGAAATATAACTCTTCCCTTCAGAGTGAATCAATAGTGAAAAGAAAAGAGAGAAAAAAAAAATTAAAGTTTTTCTTTAAATAGAAATAGATCACTTGTTTCAAGGTAGAGTAATACATTCTACTAACTGTAGGATTTCAGATAAAACTCTTTTTTTTTTTTTTTTTTTTTTTTTTTTTTTTTTTTTTAATTTTGGTATATAAACTTCAAGCGAAAGATATGTGTCGAAAGAAGAAAATCCATCTCCAAATTGTCTAACTTATATACTTGTGTTGTGGGAATTGTAGTCTTTTTAGACAACCACCTGATATTATTCATGCATATATTAAAACTGGTTACCATTCATTTTTAACACTTCTCCTCATACAACAAGGTATATCTGTCACATTCATGTTCAGCTATTTAATAGAATACTTATAATACTATTCTACAGACCAATCATATTCCGTTATTTACTATTTTTGTTTAAACTGGTAATCTACTTATTTACTCTATTATATACTGATCATCCTCCAGTATTTGTTATTTTTTGTTTAGACGGGTTAATCTTTCTGGTTTTCATATATTGACTTGTATACTAATCAGTCTCCAGTATTTACCATTTTCTGTTTAGACTGATTATCTTTCTAATATTTATTTACTTTTTTGTAGACGGGTCATCTTCTGATATATATTATTTCTTATTTAGACTGGTCATCATTTCTCCATATTTATACATCATTACATCTTATACAATTAGTGACTTTTTAATGTTTATTTATTCTTATTTGGATTGATCATTCCTTCAGTATTTATGTATCATTGTACAAACTGATCATATTTCAATATATATATATATATATATATATAATTTCTTTCTTAACTAATCGCCTTTCTAGTACCGATGTGAACTGATCATTGTACAAGCTAATGAAGTGTGTGTATTCCTGTCTGGTTAAAGGTGTGAGTCGTCCACACTCTCAATTATCGTTTTTACGTTAATAATGTGCATACATATCATTCTCCATGTTCATCTGACACCTTTATTTCTCACTAATCAAATATTTAAGGCCCGTTTAATTTGCTGGTTCGAGTTGAAATGTGACTTTATACGAGAGTCTTTTACTGTAACAAAAAAAAAGATGTGATTATTTTTAAGAGCTTATTTAAATTTTAAACTCGAATCCGTGAAATGACCTAAAGTATTTATGTTATCATATTCCCGACCGAACCTCCATTAACATGCATAACACTGGCCTGTAAAACTTCCACTGAAAAAGTTCCTTGTTAATGCAAACGGTAGACAAATCAGAAAAATGACAACAATTGAATAGACGACAAATCTCTGGACTTGTGACAAAGAATCAAGCGGTTTTTGTTTTAGCCAATGGATGAAAAGCTTTTTTTTTTTTTTTTCTTTTGGGCTGTGGAGGTGGAGATGAACAAAGAGCTCTGTCGATGCTTAATTAACGAGTTGACGGAAACGAAAAGAAAAGATAAAAAGGAATACCGATCAAATTATTTTCCTTTTTTTTTTTTTTTTTTTTTTTTTTTTTTTTTTTTCCCCCCCTTTACACGTCTTCTCCGTCCGTTAACGCATGTTGATAACTTGCTGATGTGTAAAATTTGTGTGTGGTGTCAAGATTTGATTGAGAAGACAACAAACAAGACAGCCTAAATGAGACAACAGATCTTTAACTCAGAACGCAACTTCAACATGATTTATAAGTAGCTAAAATCAAGCTCAAAACACGGAAAGATTTAAGATTGTTCTCATTAGGGGACAAGGAAGTACTAATTAAGGCAGTCTTTGAGGCAACTCCCACTTGTACTATGAAAGTTCTTACTAACTTCAAACTTTCCTGTACTCCAAACGTTAACTCTGAGACATGTTTGGCTATTCCTTAGCGAATCAATTGTGCCATCAAAAGGACAAAACTACAATGCAGCTGCCATGACCTCGGGCCGGGCATTCTCTGTCCTTCGTCCACCAATGTTCCTACTGAAATTCAATTCGATGACGCTTTCTATTTCCAAACAATTTCTTTTTCAATACTATGACTGACCTCAAAACTCGACGATCCGATCTTCAAAAATTCATATGGAAATTTGTTGCCACTTGGAATTGAGATCACTAAGCCAAAAAAAAAAAAAAGAAAACAACAAATTTGTGTAATCTCTCAAAAATATTGTCTCCATTATTTGTTTTTCCAAGTAAAAATTGGCTCGGAAAATCATATCTCAAGATGCTCAAATAGAAATCCAGACAATCACGAAACCAAGTGATAATATTATCAGGTATACGATCATCATCACCACTTTGATGATTTTCCTCCACAAGTAAAAACTAATTGTAATCTCCCCCGTAAATCCAAGGCAAGGAAGATGGCATTTTCAGACGTCTCAAAAGTTCCCAAATTTTGAAACCTTTGGAACCATTCAAAGATGCCATAAATACACCGTCACCATTTCCCCGTGCTCTCATGGTTGAATCGATATTTCTTGTGCCCAGCCAACTGAAACTTTCTTGTGCTCTCATGGTTTAATCCGCCACTTCAAC